GTAAGCTCTAAATTAGATTCGTACCGGGCAGGCAGAGACACCAAATTCCAAAGAAGTTACAAAGAAGGCCAGAAGAAATTCCAAAGAGGAACAAAGAAGAGATAAGGATGTGTTATTTCCTTGATAACCAGAAGAAAAAAGTTAAACTTAGATTCACCTCTTTAGGGACCACCTTTACTCCTCCCTGGGTCATCCCAAAAAATCCCTTGTATGGGTATGAGGGGATGTACTATCTGAATACATCTGAATATGCCTATCAAATCTTTGTTGTTTGCAAGGTGTGGTTCTGGGCAACACTCCTGCCACGGTGTTGACTTGAGCCATCCAGAACTTTCCTTGGCCAATAAAACTTCTGTTAGTTAAACAAAAGCCTCATCTCAAGTCTTCTTATTTGGCTTTATTGAAACTTGGGAAATAAAAGGTGCCATACAATTCAAAGAGATTTATTTCCAAGGACACGAATGTAGGGTTTGCATTTGGTTTTTTGCCTTCCAGTCAGTGTTGACTCCTGGAGACTGCCTGGACAGGTCCTGCAGTTTTCTTGGCAAGATTTAAGAAGGGGTTTGGCCTGACCTCCTCCTTCTTCCTAGGGCTGAGAGAGAGGGGCTGGCCCAGCATCACCCAGCTGGCTTCGGGCCTAAGGCAGGACAAGAACTCACCCTCTCTCAGCTTCTAGTCTGACCATTACACCCAACTGGCTCTCTGCCTACTGGAAGAATAGAAGAGGCTATTTTTAACCCAGTCACAAATCTAAGGTCAGGGCTTATGAAGGAAACGTATTTAATTATATGGAGGCTCAAGGTTGAGACCTCAATCATGGGGGGAAATACAGCGGCCAGTGAACCCTCTTCGCCGACAGGCAAATTTGCTTGTGTCTGTGTGTTTGTGTGTGGAAATCATACACCTGGTGGTGTTTTCCTCTCTTTTGCTCTATCTAAATTCCCAAGGACAAAGGTAAACCCTCAAGCACTGTGTGCAGTTAATCTAGACCAGTGTTTCTCAACCTCAGCCACTTTAAGACGTGTGGACTTCA